CGCTCCCCCTGCCACTGCCACTGCCACTGCTACTCCTCCTCCCCCGACGACTCTACGACGACGGCCCCTGCCACGTCGACGACGATGCCGCTGCCACGACGGCAACGACGAAGCCTCTTCTTCGTGTTCTAGCAATTGTTGCTGCCTGAGGCTAGTTCATTGCATATCGTGTAACCTCATACCATAGCTCATCGTAGTTGGTTGAAGCGCTTGTTTGGTTTGGTGTTGGCCGTCGATGTCACAGCTTCGTGCCACGAACATGCCGCGCACGTGTCGTTTTGTCGAGGGCCAAAGCAGCTGAGGCAATCCAAGGCTGGGGTCCTGCCCGGGTCGGCCGCCGCCCTTCCCATAGCCTCGGTCGGTGGCAGTAAGGGGTTTCGCATCAACTTGGGCTTGGGGAGGGGATGAGGAAATGAGGGATCTGAGGTTCAGAGGACAGAATGCTACCGACCCTGCTTCACATGGCACTGGGCGCTCCACCACCGCCATACTTGGGTGTCGGCGTGGCCATCCTCCAGGAGGCTGAGAAGGTGCAGAGGCTTCTGCACTCACAATGGGCTGAAGGCAGGCAGGCGAGTATGGTAGTACAACGGAGGTAGGGCATACGGCTTGTTCAAACCCTGAGCCCAGCTGCCCCAAGAATCCCAAGTCTGCAGTGGACACCTGAGACACCCAAACCAGTGAATGCAACGCGGCTATAAGGAGCTGCGATGGATTGTTGATGATCCTCCAAGTATGGTTATTGTTACTACTCCTGATTAATTAACCCTGCCGCTCCTTTCTGACGGCCCCCCGGTGTGCGCACTTGCGCGTGCTCGGGGCTGCGCCAAGCGGCCACCCTGGGTGCGTCCCTCGGCGCTTGAGCCGCGGCGTCGGCGCAAGTTCTGGGACTTCTAGTCAAAGAGGTTTCGGGCTCAGGAGTCAAAAGTAACGCTAATTTCGAGGCTATCCTGGTCCTAATGTAGGGGCCTGAGTAATTAGAATAGGGTTTTGGGCTCCTCTATAGTATAATAGTATAACTAAGCATTTGGCCCGGTTTAGGCTTCAACGTGCAGGGCTGTAGGAACTTCAGGATGGTGGACCCCAATTTCGATCTCAAAGAACCTTTTGACAAGGTGGGCTCCTGTAGTGGGAAGGTGAGGAGGCTTTCTACAGAAGTGTTATATGCGGCTTCTGTAGACCCTAAACCCTAAAGCCCTAAACCGAACGTCTGAGCTTTGGGTGCTTGCTGCAAACTCTATCGCAGAGTGTGGCCTGGGTATTACTATACGGGCCGTAAGAATTAGAATAGGGTTTGGTGGTATAGCATACTATAATTACAATAATACAATAAGGAACCCCCAAACCCTATCTAACTATATATCCCAAACCCTATTGTAACAATATATCATACTTCTAACAATATATCATACTGTAATTATAATAAAGAACCCCCCAAACCCTATTCTAACTGGACATCATACTATCATTATAATAAGGAGCCCCAAACCCTTGTATTACACATCACACTATAAATATAATAAGGAACCCCCAAAACCCGTTCTAACTACTAAGGCCCTTATATTACTCGTTGAAGCCCTTAGGGTTTAGGGCTTAGGGACCCATGAGTCTGAAGCTGGCTGAGCACCTTAAAGCTCCTGCGTCCAGGAGCACTCCGAAAGCCACCTTGTTTTTTGCCTCCCACCTTCAAAGAGAAGGAGTACTCAGTCGAAGGCTCCTTTGGTTAAGTAAGGTTACGCCTGGACTTCTGCTGTGCTTGATGCTTGTTTAGTGTTGGCTTCTGCGGGGTTCCAGCGTCGAAGTGGCGAAGTACAAGTGTGTAGACAAACGCAACAACTGCAAACCCCCGATTTTCGCATCACGGCACACAGCATTTTGCTTGCGCCAGGGTGTGCCCGAGCCCCGAAGTTTCGAAACTTGAGCCCTTCCTCTTTCTCCATGTCTAGAAGATTTCCTCCAATCTCCAAGTCCCAAACCATGGCCGTCGGCTACGAAGCTGCGAGACATGGACACCCCAGAGTCAGCAGTGAGACAACTCTTTTTGCACGTACCATATTTCATCTTTGATACTTGGGGTGTGCGACTAAGGGTTTGGAGGTTGTGCTTACTAGAGGTCACTTGTTCCATTTGGAGGGCATGAAGACTGGAACACAGTGAGTGGCCCAGAACTCTAAATTCGGCTGTATATCCTGAAATTGTGGCTTGCTCTGCATGGGCAGGAAAGGGGGGCCATGTGGCTTTAACCCTTTTTCAGCACGGACTGAGGTGCCGGCCAGCACCCTAAACCCTAAACCCTAAACCCTGAACCGTAAACCCTGGGTTAACGTCCTCCAGATTCGACAAGGACCGGCCGCTGGTCTAGGTATTCGTGTTTGACCCTGAACTAAGAGCCGACCTCTTCTGAGATGCGAACCGACCGTAAACTGTAGGTTTAGGGTTTAGGGTTTCGGGGTTTAGGGTTTCGGGGTTTAGGGTTTTGGGGTTTAGGGGTTTAGGGTTTGGGGTTTAGGGTTTAGGGGTAAACCGTAAACTCTGAGAGGTGAGCAAGAACGCTTACGCAGGTCAACATTCTCTGCCCCATCATGGCATTCACAGGCCACCATCGACCATGCGTTTGCTCGCAGGGAAATACCTCAGATGGCGTGGCGAAGGTTTGCTGAAACCTACAGATACTACAGGGTACTACAAGAAACTATACTATCGTACTACACAGTTTCCTATAGCATTTTATGGCATATTGTAGTATACTGTGGTGTTCTATGCCTATGGTAGATTGTAATATCTTGTAGTAACAATTCTTTCGGGGCTCAGGCAAATGATGTACATAGTATAATGCAATATACATACAGAAATGTGACGTGATGTAATGAAGCGTGACGGGATATGATGTGGTATAATGAAATCTAATGCAATAGAACGATAAATACGGCTGCAAAAAATATCTAGAATTGTGTCATGCAGTGTCAAAAGGAGGACGAAGAAGAGTCGCGAGTGGCTCGTCCACGATAACCCACACCCATAAACCAGCACGCCGAGCTGAAACCCTACACTCCTCCACCCTCAACCGAGCACAGCAGGCCCCAAACTTCAAGACGCGTCCGTCCGCCCCTCAGTGAAATGCCATCTAAACAGGAGGCCAAGGCCCAAAATCGGAACGCCAAACACCGAAGCCTAAGCATCACTCCGAAGAGCCTTGAACCCCAAACCCGGCATAAAGGGTTTAGGGTTTAAACTCCCTGAAGCTCGCTTGCTCACCAGTGGCTCCGCGATGCTGACAGGCCGTGCGGGCAGCCCACCCAGCTTGTCCAGAAGGTCCACGGGGCCTTTGCGAAGTGGGCTTTGGGAGTCGGGGTCTTGGGCCAGGGTATGGGGTTGGTATAAGGTTTAGGGTTTAGGGTAGGGAGCGGTTCCTGTCTGGAAAATGTCTGGGTTCTGGCTCAACTCTTCTGCAAGATCTTGTGCGGTGCGTAGAGAACCTGATGGCGGTTTCATGTCCGACGATGAAGTTCTGGCATGTTCTGCCCCAAAGCCCCAAACTTAACCACTCAAACCTCAAAACCCCCAAACTCCGAGCCCTGAAGCCCTGAATCGTAAACATGTGAAACCCTGACTTCCCAACAAAAAGGTTTCAGGCTGATTCTAAGGCCCCAAAGCCTGGAGGCAGAAACAAACCAAAAAAACAAAGATTTGCCGAGATGCCAGGCGCCCCAACTAAGCCAGGAAGCCCTAAACCAAACTACACCGACAAGCTCTCGAACCTTCACGCCCGAAAGTTCTACGTCCAACAGATAGTTAGTTAGATAGATAGATAGATAGATAGATAGAGATAAGTAGATAGGATAGGATAGGATGGGATAGGATGGAATGGAATAGAAGATGATTACTTTTAGATTATATTAGCTTAACAGATAGATAGATAGATAGATAGATAGATGAATCGATGGATAGATGGATAGATGGATAGATGGATAGATGGATAGATGGATAGATGGATAGACAGACAGACAGATAGACATATAGACAGATATAGACAGATAGAGACAGACAAACAGACAGGCAGACAGACAGACAGATAGATAGATAGATATATAGATAAACAGACCAATAGATAGATAGACAGACAGATAGAGAGACAGGCAGACAGACAGAGAGACAGAGAGACAGACAGACAAACTGACAGACAGACAGATAGATAGATATACAGATAGCTATACAGATAGATAGATCGATCGATCCTTCTTTCCGACGCCTCCTCTGGGACTACGATTCGGTTTAAGGTCTGGCTCTGGCTAAGGGTTTCGGGTTCAGGGCACCCAAAGACGTGCGTCCCAGAAGTGCAGAGGAGGCACGCCGCTTTCCACGTGCGGAGACCTCGAATGACAAAGTTGATTTCAGAGCTTTCTGAGTGCAGAAGGAAAGGCACCATGCCTTGCCCCACAAAGTTGGGGCTATATTAAACATGATCATGCTTAATCCTTACTGGGTTTTATTATAACAGAACGTAAAATTGTATCCAAGGAGGACCAGGAAGTTAGCTACAGTTCGTTCAGACGTCCGGTAAGCCCTCAGCGGAGCTCTGAAGCCCT